GTAAATTTAGAATTTAACAACTCACTTCGAATATGCAAAATATAAAAAAAAATTCGTATGTACTAGTACAAAATTTTTTATTTTTTTTTAGTGTACATACTATTAAAATTTTGCTCAATTTTTGTACGTCCATACATATTTGTACAATCGTACTGTACTACTTTACTAAATATCTCTCTACAATTATTATGCAAGAATCAATTGATTCAATATCTATACTATAAAAGCACAATATTTAAATAGTCTATTTTAATGATTAGTAATTTTCACTAATAGCTCAGTTAGCAAATATTGCATTAAGTGGCAATTTACTAACAGAAAATTCTTCCAACAAACACTAACTTCAACCTTATGTAATATACGCCAAATGAAATTGTGTTACCAAACGTAGTTCTTACCAAATATCTGCTATAATACATAGAGTTAGAATAAAATTAATATATGTTGGTTTAGAATAGGATTTGGAAGAATAAGGTGAGAATAGGTTAGGATGAGAATTGAAAAGATAGATTAGAATAGGATTAGATAGGATTTAAAAGGATAAGGTGAGAAGAGAATATGAATCGATTAGAATAGGGTCAGAATGGAATTTGATAGAATTAGATTGAGATTCAAAAAAATAAAGCTAGTATGGGATTCAAAAGAAGTTATAGTGGGATTTAGGTTAGAATGAGATTCAAATAAATAGAATATTTTTAGAATTAAAATTGGTAATTTGTTATTTAAATAAATTTTTTAATTTTTTTATAAATTATTATTTTATTTTATTTTTATTTTTTTTTAATTCTTTGACAGTCTTGCCAGTGCTAAATTTATTTAAGACTATATTTAGGTAAGAGTTGAACTCTCTCGAACAATACAAATTATTTATAACCATAAATGGCATCTAGCGATTGCAAGCCTAACATCACCTGGCTGTGATTAATGTGCCCAAATGCGACTTGTTGCACCAACCTATATACAAGTTAGATATACTTTGTTAGCCCATCAAAGCTTTTCCCTTCATATTCTCTTTCTTTACTGAGAGCAAAAAAAAGTGATGATCTTATATCCAATACAAAACCACTGATATTATCAAGAAAACAAAATGAAAAACTAACTAAAAAAAAACAAATAAAATGAAGAGAGAATTTTAAAAGACAAATAAAAGGGGTATAATGAAATGTAAAAAAAGAAAATCAAAGAGAAAAGCCCAAGGGTCAACAAAGAGAAACTACCTCTATCAAGAAGCAGTACAAATAGAACAAAAGAAAATATACTATTCAGATTTTAAAAAAAAATTTTATAACAACTGCAATGTTTGTATATCTCGACTAAAAAATCCAACAAATTATTATCTGACTACCGACCACCTCCGGATGCTACTAAAGACCCGATCCTAGTCACATGTAGGTCCCGTCTCCATAGACTACGTCGCATCACATATCCACTGATAAACAAAGCACATGGTTGCATTTCTGGGTACTTCTGGAATTGATAGATAAACAATGCCGATCTTTTGAAGGGGTAAGCCAAAACGCCCACTTTTTGTTGAAAAATTTGGAGAAGACTGGCTAAATGAAAAACACCTAGTGAGAGACTACTATACTCAAGAAAAGTAGCTACATCCATGTAAAGACTTAACCACTCCTTAACCTTCTTCTAAGAAAGGGGTGGGCACCTATACTTTCTTTTCGGTGAGTGATAAACTCTAGGCTTGTCGGCAAGTAGCATATGAGAACTACTTCTAAACGACAAGTGTCGTGCAAGCAGTAAGTGATAAACTCTGAAGAAGTTAGCAGGTAGCGTATGAAAACTACCTCTAAATAACAACTGCCGACTTATAGCTAGTAGTGTGCCTCCATTTTTATAAAGTGCTATTGTGTTTTTACAAAAAAAATGTGTTTAGATTTTTGGTACAGATGATCATCAGAAAGAGTTGAATCTTGCTAGTTGTATTTTCATTGTAACTATATTAGTATTATCTGTTAATAAAATATTGTCTGGCTAAAAAAAATTATTGAATTTATGAACTTTTGAACTAAATCTAAACTGAGACTAAACTAAACCTAAAAGTTCAATATTAAATCTAAACTAAATATAAACTTAATTTAAAAGTTCAATATTGAACATAACTGAACTAAACCTGAACTTGAATCTGAACTTGACCAAGGTTTAGTTCAGTTCAGGTTTATAGAAACACTAGTCTTACTATAATAATTTATAAATATAATATAATAATTTGTAAATATAATATAATCAGGATTGTCATGTTTACTATGTTTGTTCTATTGGTCCTAATTCTATTCACTTTTTTCATTTTTCTATTGTAAATTTCAGTATTAAATTTTACTAATTAAATCCAAAAATATTTTAAATTTATTATTTTACTAATAGTCTAACAATATATATTTAAATAATTGCAAATTATTAATAAAAACTTTTTTATATAAAGACAAAAAATCAAGCTTTTATTCTATTGTTCTATTTGCCAACACTGAATATAATAATTTGTAAATATAATATAATAATTTGTAAATATAATAACAAGCATTTAGTTAAAAGAAGCAAAGCAAAATAGTGAGCAACTACAGAGTAAACAAAGTGATCTCTGTTGGTGTTGCTGAGCATAAGCAAAGCAATATAAGTTGTATTGTCTATAATAAAGTTGTCTATAAAGAATGTTTAGTTGCACATAGCTAATAAAATAATTAAAAGTTAATAATTATAATTAAAAAATAATTGTTGTATTAAGTTTATTATTTAATAATGTTAAAGCCCGAAGCAATGCACTGGATTAAAGATTAGTACCCATAAATACGATAATAAAATTTTTGTTTGAATTAAATTGTTAGAAGACTTTTTATTATAATTTCCGACAATGTACTATATATTTTAAATTATAAAAAATTAATTTTCACTTGCATTATCCTTCAAATTACTATATGATTAATATAGGCAGAATGCAAAATAGAGGTGTAATCTTGAGGGGGTGACTATCATGGCAATACGGCCGTATAAGATATACCCGTATAAGTATCGTACGTATGTCATACGTATAAGCGTCGTATGCTGTATATCTCACGAGCAAAAAAAATTTTTTATACACGAATGTTATTCTATTTTTTGTACAATTTGCACAGCCCATTGTTAATTTTGTGCAAATAACAATACATGCACAACGAATTTTCAACACTCTCACGAGTGCTGTATCTGTCACACAATTTGTCATGTTCAGAGATCCTAAACATTGTTAGTGATAAGTTTAAATTCGAAAGCGTCTTCATATCAGTTTATCATTTTGTAAATTATTTCTTGATTACTTAAAGCAAGCACATTATTTGGTAATAATTTATTTAAGGAGATATTTATGGCAAGTTACTTCATGGTTATTCATGCATTATTTGGATTAGGTTCTAATCAGTGTCACCCTTACAAGTCCAGTAATTTGAATTGGAATTGAACTTGTACGTTCCAATTGGAATCTATAAGTCCAATGTTCCACTTTATAGGTCCGGTGAACAAAGTTGGTCTAATTGTCCAACACTGAGGTTCTAATAGTTCATTAAAGTCCACAAGTGCTTTTTCATAACTGCTTATCATTCGATAATATAAATGTCATTCATTCATTTGGTTTGATTTTTAATAAATCTAAGTAAGTCACTTGTCATCAAATACATTAAATAAAATCTAAAAATTTATTAATTAAATATATAACTGATACAGTCAGAACTCCATAAATGCACACTTTATAAATGCACGGACTAAGTAAAAACTCTCTAAATGCACGGCATGGTCTGGTCCCAACTCATAAGAACTATATATAATTTCTACTCTATAAATGCTCTCTCTCTCCTATGGCCCCGACGACAGCGCATTTATAGTTCTGACTGTAATTATAAATTTACATATAAAATTTGGGGATATCAATATTTACATTTTGAACCCTATACGTATAAGAAAATGATATTACTAAATAAACCAACCAAGATTGGCTTACTTGCTGTACTTACATCTACGATATTATTATTAAACAGTTAAATCAGTACGTATATACTTTAATATATACTGTACTGTATATTAAAAACATATATAAATTAAGAAAAAACTTTTTCCGGGCGATAGAAATTTTTGAAAATGTTATACCATGGTATATATATTATATATTATATGTTTGATTCCGTATATCATTCGTAATTACTAACGGTGTACAATTAATAAACCGGGTTATTATACGTACCAATTAAATTATAATTTATATACAATTCAATTTTTAAGCTCTGTATATCAGATCTAATTTTAGATAACTAATACGACTTTTTGTCAATTCTCTTCGATTTAAATGCTCACTAAACCGCTAAAGATATAAACCAAAAAAAATTTAGCATATATATTTTGTTTTTATGTAATCATGTATTAATTGTAAAGTAGGCAAATATTTGGACAAAAAAACAAACATAGTTAGATCAAATGGTTTTATCGTTAAACTCACGAACTTTGATTTTCTTTTTTTAAGAAAATATATGTCGTTTTCGTGAAACTATCTTTAAAAAACAGCTAAAATGCAGTTGTATAAATCATTTACTTTGTACACCGTTTTACTGCACCTTCCAAAAAAAAAAAAAAAAAAAAGCATTTACGTGTTAATTTACAAACTTTACTGTCTTTCATTTATTTTTTCAATAACGTATTTATTATAAAAATCTAATTCTCTCTTTTTGGAAGAGTAGAAAGTAGATTATTCTTTATTACTGACCGACCTGTCTTTTAGAAGGTGACAAGTAAACAAATTTGCTTTTGCTTTGTTATCTAAAAAACGAAACTGAGAGTGTCACTCAACGTACCTGGTACTGTTAGGAATTTATTTTATATTACTCTTTTCTAAAAAAGCAATAGGCAATCATTACCACCCTCGACTGGTCTACACATTCATTTTATTACGTTTTACCTCTAAAGACATTAGTCAACTACATTTTTTAAACTACTTCAAACCTCCTTTGTAATCAATAAATTTAATAAAAATGGTGGATAATATCCACAATAGAGATTATGACAATCTTGGTCCCAACATAATAGTCTCGTCTCCCTCACGGCAGCATGTATATATTGGAAACATACAATCAACGGCAGAATTAAAAAAGCATTTGCAAGAACAAATAAACGAAAATGCTAATAAGATACAAATGACTGCAGAACTGGGTGCTGCACTTGTAAAACAACAAACTGAATTAGAGAGTCAAATACAAGAACTAGATAAAACTCAAGGAGACGAAGTTCCTCAAGAATTAAAAAATAAATTAGTCGAACTCGATAAAGCAGCGAAAGCTTTAGATGCAAATGCTGCAAAAGTATTTCTAGACACTAAAGGACTGGCTGAAGTAAGTATCAATTTCGTTATAATAATTAAAAATATGCACGGAGAATTAATAAATTTAGCATATCAGCTAGCCTAATAAGTGCATCACGAGAGTTTTGTTTAAAGCGTTTTATTTTCGGATTATCATACGAGCTCGTTGTTGAATGCAAATTATATAAGAATAGCTTCTTTTTTTATGAAATGAATCAATTATTCTAACAAAATAATTTTCTTATTAGATAGATTTAGATGAGAATACTTTAGACGCAACGACTGCAGCGCCCGCAGCAGCGGGATCAAAACTCTCAAGGCGTGAACGTAACAACGCAAAAGGTCGACAAAAGGATATAGAATTTGCGACAGAAATAGGACAAGGCTTGTTGGTCGAAGTTAGACGTTTACAAGCTTTACTACAAGAAAAAGAAGAACGAATAAAAGAACTTGAGATTGATAAATCTGAGTTTGAACGTACTATTGAACAACTTAACAAAACAATACGAACGAACAAAGAATCAGAAGGTATGATATGCTGAGAAAAATATTATGTATTTTAAAAAAAAAAATTTTTTTCTTGGTTAATATAATTAAATAATTAATACTTTTTTCTACTAGAACGGTTAAATGAACAAATTTGGTCTCTTGAACTTGCGAGGCAAGAGCTTAGTAATCAAATAGAGGAACTTCAACAACAACTTGTCAGAACTCGTGTTGATTATTCAAAAGTCGAAAGGGCACTTTCAACTGCAACTGATGTTATCGAACAACTTAAAGATAAAGAAGAGAAATTGACGGTAAATATCGAGAATTTGAAGGCTCGCCACGAACAAGATATGGCAAATAAGCGTAGACATATCGCTGCAGTTAATGGTGAGAAAGCTGATCTCTCAAAAACTATTGAAGATTTACAGTCTCAATTGGAATATTTAGTAAATGCCTCCAGAATTAAGAAAAAACCTGATATTGCATCAAATGATTTATATTATGATGAAAACGGGCAGGCTATCGGCGATTTATCTAGTGGAATGCATCCAGGTGTCCTTGCTGCATTACAAAACAATAATTTGAATATTGAAGAAACCCTGAAAGCGCTTAATGCTTCGAACCGTATGATTGGTAATCTTCGTGCTAATCTTCAAAAAGAAAAAAGTGAAAAATATGAATTAAAGAAACTTTTAGCTGATAGTCAAGAACAAATAGAAGCGATACGTAATGCGGAATTTGATGTCCCTGTTCTTAACAAAACAAAACGAAAAGTACAACCAAAGAAATCAACTAATATGGGGCTCTCAGATATTATTGAAAGTAAAGAACCTTCTAATGACAATGAATTTGGCTATCAACATAAAGATGGTTATTCTAGTGAAGCACATTCAATTTACAGTGAAGAAGATATCATTGACAAAAGTAATCGGCCATCATCGGATTGGTTCGATAAAAGTAATCGGCCATCATCGGATTGGTTCAATACTCGCAAATCTAATACTCTATCTAAAAGTTCTAGAAGTAGTCGAATCTCTAGTCAGGCTTCTTCTCTATTTAAGAAGCGATCTTTAGCGGATGAAAGTATTTCTGATGTCGAAGAAGAAAATGAAGATATGGTTAAAACACAAATATCTGAATCGTCTATTATCGACGAAGATATTTCTTGTGAAGAAGAGGAAGAAGAAAGTGATGATATAGTTAAAGCACAAAGAGCTGAAGCACTTCGAAAATTGGATGAAAATAGTTCGACTAGGTCTCGAATTTCTAATAATGTTGGCCAAGATATTAAAGTTAATGAATCTGAAACTCTCGAGGATATCTTTGGTGGTTATCGTAGGGAGTCAAATGTTCAAGGGCACGAAGATGAGGATACCATCGCGAATAGAGATAGTAAAGTTGAAAGTGTTATTCATAGAAGTGATATGCAAGATTCAATATACGAAAATACTGAATATAGTGATGAACCAAAAACACCCAAATATGAAAAAAGAAACACATATACTGAATATAGTGATGAACCCAAAACACCCAAAGATGAAAAAAGAAACACATATACT